ATGTGTAGCCTACAAACCATATTCAATGACTCCCCCTGAGCAACAAACCCAGGTGGTTGCTCCATATATACTTCCTCTTCAAGATCACCATGTAAAAATGCATTTTTGATGTCAAGTTGATAAAGAGGTCAATGTCGAATGGCTGCAATGGCTAGAAGAAGTCTAACAGATGTCATCTTGGCTACAGGCGAGAAGGTATCACTATAATCCAACCCAAAAATCTGAGTGTATCCCTTGGCTACCAAGCGAGCTTTAAAACGATCAATCTTACCATCTGGACCAACCTTCACTGTATAAAGCCAACGACAACCTACTAAAGATTTTCCAGTGGGTAGAGGAACCAGTTCCCAGGTACCACTGCTTTGAAGAGCACACATTTCATCAATCATTGCTTGCCTCCACTCAGGGTGAGATAATGCTTCACCTGGAGATTTAGGAATAGAAACAGAAGACAAAGAGGACAAACAAGTATACTGCAAAGGGGAAAGACGATGATAACATAAATCAATATAATGTGGAGAAGGATTTCGTGTTTGACGTATACCTTTGCGAAGGGCAATCGGAAGATCAGACTCAGGTTGCAGGATCGAATCCGGTGATGGCGATAGCGTCGGAGGAGAGTCTACAATGACCTCAAGGACAGGTACGACCTCAGGGAAATGTACAACCTCAGGGACAGGTATGACAGACGTTGGTTTACGACGCTGATATGTTTGAAGTGGGCGAGAAGTGGGGGGTCAACCGTAGGGGTTTCTCGTGGGACAGGTTCCCTAGAATGATGGGGAATAATGGGAAATGGGACGTCCGGAAGAGGTGTAGGAGTACTTTCCTGAAGGGGTTCCGGAGTGACTTGGGTGGATGCAAAATATGGCACAGACTCGAAGAAGGTAACATCAGCCGATATCAGGTATCGTTGCAGAGTGTGTGAGTAGCAACGATAACCCTTTTGAGATCGATGATAACCAAGAAAGACACACTTTAGTGATCGAGCTGATAGTTTATCAAGACCAGGAAAGAGATTATGCACAAAACATGTAGATCCGAAGACTCGAGGAGGAATCTCGAGGAGGAATTGGATGAAGAGGAGAGTTTGGAAACAAGATTGAATGAGGGATTTTATTATTAAGGACAGATGAGGGCATGCGATTTATGAGATAACACGCCGTGAGCACAGCATCCCCCCAAAATCTGAGAGGGACATTACCATGGAGAAGTAGAGTCCGAGTGGTTTCTACGATGTGCCGGTTTTTGCGTTCGGCTATCCCGTTTTGTTGAGGTGTATGAGGACAAGATGTTTGATGTACCATTGGATGACATAAAAGTTTGAAATTGTTGGGATAAATATTCACGTGCATTGTCACTTCTTAAGGTACGAATGGACAAACCAAATTGGGTTCTTATTTCCCGATAAAATTGTTCAAAAATAGAAAATAATTCAGATCTGTTTTTCATTAAAAATAGCCACATGCAACGTGAAAAATCATCGATAAATGTTACAAAATACCTAGACTCAAAAGTAGACACAGTACACGATGGACCCCAAACATCGGAGTGAACTAAAGCAAAAGGAGACGCAACCCGTTTATTGACTCGATCAGGAAAGTGACTACGAGTATGTTTTCCTAATTGACAAGACTCACACTGTAAAGTGGATAATTTAGATAAACTGGGTACCAACTTTTGTAGCTTGGGAAGACTTGGATGACCTAACTGCGCATGTATAATGAGTGAAGAATCTGTGGTGGAGCATGTGGTAGATGACGTAGAGAAGTAGTAGAGGCCTTGAGACTCACATCCGACGCCAATCGTCTGTCCCGAACTTCGATTCTGCAGAATAACATCACTATTAGTAAAAGTGATAGAACAATTAAGGGAACGAGTTAAACGACTGACTGACAGTAGATTAAATGGGCAATTAGGTACATATAGGACAGAAGTAACAAAGAGAGATGGTAGAATTTAAACAGTACCGATCCCTTGGGATCGGGTTTGAGAACCATTTGCGGCAGTTATACTCGGTAAAAAACCAGAGGTAGAAAGGGAAGAGAAAAGATTTTTATTACCGGTAACATGATCAGACGCACCAGAGTCGAGGACCCAAGAACCAAGAGGAGATGATTGAGAAACGCAAACAGATGAATTACCAGTGTGTGCAATCGAAGCCGTGGAACCAGAGGTTTGGTTAGTCTGACACCACCTGAGAAAATCTTCGTAACTTGGCGTAGGATTCTGAAGAGAAGGTGAAGTCTGCATAGTGTACGACTTTCCGAGAGTACGACTTTCTGTGAGTCGAAAACGAAAACCGAGGACGGATCTGGAACCGGAGGAGGAAGGCGATTTCCCGAGAGAGAGAAAAAAAATCATGAACAGTAGCGGCGACGGCGCTGAACAGTAGTCCTCCAAAAAAATATTTTTTTTTCGTGGACTGTGCTTGGCGGAGGTCGCTGGAAAAAAAAGGTGAGACAAACCGGAATGATGACACGGTTTGCATAAGAAAATTTCTCACCGGAAGACAGTGGGTCAACCGGGTAAAGCACGGCGAAGAATTGCCTCTTAGAAGGCTCTAGATACCATAATGAATTAGGAGAGACTAAGAGACATTTAGGTTAAACCGTGTGTTATGAAAGCACTACGGAGATTTTATTATATAGAGAGATTATAACTAATTACACTATATAATCGATGTGGAACTATTCTATATACAAATATTCTTAACATTATATATTTACGAATATCAACAGCTAACACCCTTTTCCTTATGACGAATGTCACGCAAATCAGTACCGTAGCTAAAGCCAGTTCCAGTTGGTTGATCAACATACAAAAGGTTTGACACCTTGTCCCAACCATAGGGATTCCACACGAGACAAATTGTAATTAATTTTGAAAGGGCCATTTTCATAAAACGAAGCCAACTCACTGCTACAGCCAGGACCTCGAGTCAACCAAATCACAACAGGATCTTCTTCCTTGCGGTTGCGTGATTCGGAAAAAAATAAAGGTCCACGTATTCATGTAAGAGTTCGATCAAATTTCTTTTTACAGCTTTTTCTATTCTAGTGCAGCGCCTGTGTTGACCTCTTTTCAATCCTCCTCGGTTCTAAGATTGACGATCTCTATTGATTTATGATGCGGTTGTATGATCTCTGGCTCATGCTTTAATTGTTTGGCTAACTCTTCAGGAGTTCACAATCTTCCTCACCATTCTCTTCGGCTTGGTTAATTGGAAAATCGAAGTCATATTGGACTATAGCAGTGTCGTTATCAATTGGTTCAGATGTTGATCTGCACGTTTTATTATACTTTGTTTTTAGAATGTGGAGTGAAAAGTGTGTATGAAAGAAAACATTGCCATTTGAAGAATAAAAGAGATGAAATAAAATTACCTTAATTGAATGCAAAACGAATTTTATTTTTGATAAATGTAGTTCAAAACAAATAGGACTCTTACAAGCCACCCCTACGCCTCGGACAAGAAAGGAAATAAATCTCTGGGATCTCCACAGCGGAGTACTTGTTGAGTTCTTTGCCCGGAGCGCGCTCGTAGACTAGGTTTGATGTCCCCTCGATGTTGTCCTTGTATACCACGGCCACTTGTTCACCATATTCAAATCCAGCACTGATGAAGGTCTCTTGAATTGGAGGGATCAATCTTTCATCATACTTCCCAATCTTGCCAGCTTTTGATGGTTGATAGTCAAAACCAAAGTGGTCCTTATTTTCTTGAATTTCCACTAGCTTGCCCCAGCCTTCGGGGTTTCCGCCCACTACAGCAGCTTGTAAATCCTTCCAAGATGTTACGGGGGTCTCGGGCTTCTTGATTTTCTCCATCAGATGGGTGACCACAGTAGCAATCTCTAAGGCATAGAATGATGTTTCTAGACTCCCCTTCTCAGCTTCAATGTATCGGTATGACGTCAGATAACTCACAAAGATGTCTTCTTCCCCATTTATCACAACCAGCTTTCCTTCGACAATGAATTTTAACTTTTGATGGTGAGTCGATGTGACTGTCCCAGCAGCGTGGATCCATGGTCATCTAAGTAGACAGTTGTATGCAAATTCTATTTCCATAACTTGAAAGGGATACAAAATGTGTGTGGGACGCTCAGTATTTCAAAGGTTCGATAAGAACCAATGTTTCATTATGTTGAAGGTTCAATAAGAACCGGTGTGATTTTGTTTAGGTTCGGAAGGGCCAATGTTTTAGCCTAATTGGCAGTGTTATTAGGTTCTTAAGAACTGGTGTTAGCCTTAGCCGGCGGTGTCAAATTTTGGTGTTGGAGGTTCGGATCGAAGATTGCATTGTTTAAAGCATCATATATATTTTGGATTTAGGTTAGGATTTCAGTCTGGTGTTAGGACTTCGGTCCGGTGTTTTAGGATTTCAGTAAAATAACTTTGAATTCGATGATGGTACCACATCATAGGAGTAGAGGAAATGAGCATTGCATATTTATTCTTGTATATATTTCGTGATATTGTATGATTATGATTGATTGCGAATGATGTGCCGTATGATTAAATGATATCCTTGTTATTATACCACGTAATTTTATAGAATGTATTCTTATCCCTTGTGTTCTATGTCACTCTATGTGAATCCATGTACAGATTATTTTCAAGTTAAGACTGAGAAGTGATTGTTTTTGTTGTTTCTGATATTGTAACATTGGGATTGAGATTATTTTGTTATGTTCTCTAATTTGTCTTAAACCGAATAATTGTACCTTATTGTTATGTTTTGAATTTCAATTTCTATTTCGAACTAAAAAATTGAGTATTTTATTGGTGCGACATCCTTTTCTTATATTCTGCAATATTTTTACAATAAAAAATAAATAAATTGTATCATGGATTTAGGGTGTTACAGAACGGACCTAATGCGATTATGTCAATAATCAGTAACAGTTTAGTTGTTTTCTTGCAACTATTTTTTCCTCTTTATACCATGCTTGAAAATAGAGAGTGGAAAGAGAAGGATCAACGAGATCGTGTACCTGGCAAGCAAGATCACGTGCGCTTTTTCCTAGTGATAAGCCAGTGGATCTCACAGCATGACTCATTGGAAATCCACATTGAGATTCACCATCCCTACTGGTTTCTTCAGATAGTAGATTGTAACAGCAACCAATACTAACAACAGCTTTAACATCTCTGCAGTCTAAGAAAGTCCTATAGAGAAAGGATTGGAACAATTACAAGTCTGTCGAATGCAGACAATACAGTAATAAGGAAACATACACAGAAAATGGCATTGCTATAAAACAGGCGGGTTAACATGTTATATGCACACAAACAAAATAAATAATAAAGTTAATAGTGCATTAGATGCAAGGGAAGGATGTCGCTTCGATGTAAGGAACAATGTAATAACTCGGATGTAATTCAACTCTGGCATCTTCTTGATAATTGTGCAAAAATACACAATTTCAAGTAATTAAAATTACCTCAACTCGGTTGACAATTTATAAGTTTCCAGAAATTTTGTATGATTGAAGTGGTTTATACATAGTTGTTATGAGTGTTTAGCAGTAGTTTAGAGTTTGTTAACCACTCTTCTGATGTTACTTATGCATGGTAGAGAAATTACAAACAACTAATATGAGATGAAATACATGGTAGAGAAAAAGAAGCTACACTATATTTTGAATCTCACTTCAGCATAATCACTGAAAGATCACCGCATGCATGAAGCCCTGCAAGAACAGTGGGAGGTCTGTTGTTTGCGTCACTGGGACAATGTAATTTCCCTTTATGTTCTTGATTTTCTCCCTTTAACATAGATTGCTCAAGGTCATCTGCAGGCAAAGATGTTTCAACCAAGGCTTTCAAAGATTCAATGGACAACACACGACATGTGATTGTCTTTGGTATATTCAAACTCTGCATGTCTGATCTAGAGCAAAAAAATGAACAGACAAATGAATTCTAATTACAAGGAAAACTGAGGGGGATCAAAATAACAATATACTCAGCTTTGAACAATTACCAAAGCATATTCAAATTGCAATTACTTGTTTAAACATATACACTATTATCCATACTAGAATCCTCCTTTAGTTGTTTTCATTTCAAATAATAAAGGCATGGCGTGATAATTTTAAATGTATTCGTGGAATTCCTAACATTCAAAAGGTTCGCTTATTTTTCTTTTGGATAGGAAAATGTCAGTATATTAATTATTATGTTAGTATTTTCTCCTTCACTAGCATATTAATTATCATGTTAGTATTTTCTCCTTCACTAGCCCCGAACCTTTAACTCACTTGACCCTTAGCTCAAACAAGTTGAGCTACCCAACCCCCAAAAGGCTCACCTCTTGCCTTATCCATTAGTCATTTCAAATATCCTTAAGAAGATAATAGGTCCTCCCTATACAAGGTTACATTACAGTAATTAAGGTCAAGATTTAAGAAAAGTTCAGATTTTACCATCTGTTCTTGCCGTATCATATATTTGTTAGTCGTTTCAAATATTCTTAAGAATATAATAGGTACTCCCTATACAAGGTTACATTGCAGTGACCATCCCTATAGTAGGCCCTCCCTCTATGAAGAGATTTCATACCTAGACTTTACCATCTTTGATTTGTAGTGCTTCTTAATCCGCTCTGCCCGTGCATCAGTGACCATCCCATGGTGAGAACATGCATCAATGGCAATGACAGGGTGCTGATATTGAAAGGCAAGTACTTGTGCAAGATAACCCTAAAAATATACCACAATATGATACTCGATACATAACTAAAAATATTACTTTTTTTCAATAAGAAAACATCAAAAAGAAGTAAAGTCCGACGGTGAGATTATCACTAATGAAGGAAAAATCTATTCAATAATGAACCAATATACATATTTCATCTCTGATATTGAGGGATGCAATGCAAAAACAGAGCAGTAAATTCACATGCAAGAATGTTACAAAAAGATATCACTTAGAAAGTTAGCTAGTTGCTCAAACAATATTCAGACTTTCATTCTTGACAGAAGGATCTAATTCTAATCCAAATAACAAAGCACTTAATGTATATGTAAAAAGAATCACTAAATAAAGGCATAACTTATGCTCGCTTCCAACCAATATTCAGACTTCCATTTTGGACATTGAGGTATTGTCAGGAGAAGACAGGTGAAAAGCAGCTAAGCATAACTAGAACAATTAGTCAGTTAGTTAGTTAGAGTGGATTAGTAAGATAAATAGGGGAAATCAAAATGGAGGGAGTCATTTAGATAACTCAGATTCTTGTATGACAAAGGAAACCTTTTGTTTGAAGCAGAAATTCCCTCCTTCGTTAACCGATGTAACATCTTCTAATTGTGAAGAGAAAAGGGAAACTGAAAGCAACAATCAAAATAAATGAACCATTTATTCCAAGAAAGGGAGTTAGAAAATCTCCTTATAGCAAAGCCTTTACTCAGTTCTCACACCTAAATTACCAAATGCCTCTTTTCTATCTTGCTTCTGCTATTAAACCGTTTTATCTAACTATAACTATTAACTTGAAATCCTTTCATATATTCTGAGTGTAAGCAAATAAACAGACATTTGTTGTCTTGACAAATACGGTTTATTCTTGTGTGTCCTATAAAGAAACACTGCGCCCTAAGATTCAAATGAAGAACTTTTAGCCATGCAATGTCCCCTCAACGTGCCAAGAATACCCAATTTCAATAACTTGACTAACAGAACAGTAATCAAAAGAAAATGAAGCTCTACCTGACCAGCACCAACATCCAGAATGGCATGAGCCCTCACACTCTCTGCAACTGTACTTACAACAGCAGAAAGAGCTTCTACCTGCACGCGTGAAATTATTTTAATTTGGGATATAAAGGCCAATCAATTTCTAGATTCAAGAGAAAATGAATCTTAAGACTCATAATTTACTTGTCTAAAACCAACATCTTGTAATGTAAAAGGAAGGCAACTAAAAATATGATAATCAAGGACTCACTTCATGTCTTTTCTTCGCATTCATGCCTTGGGCAAGAACTCTGTTAAGTGAAGTCATCCGCAAACCAGGTAAAGCCTGCAAGTACAAAACAAATTTATCAAGACTGCTCAATCCAAAACCTCTCAAACAAAAGTTCCAGATAAATGTAGTACAAAAAACTTCAAATTGCCTTACTTATTATTAAGTTCGAAAAACTCTTCGCAATGATTTTAAACCCACATAAATTGCCGTGGAGCAAAAATAAAGGACAAACCCAGTCATATTAAGTCACATGGCCAAAGAAATATCAAAAGGTAATAAATGAAGAATTTCTCATTAAGGATTGATATAGACAACCAACTGAAAGCTTGCACGGTTCTTGCAGAGTTTCATTGGTTCAGAAAATGAAGAGTGAATAAAATTCAGAATAAACTAGTCTAATTGAGATTTGGATATCATTTCACAGTAAAGGTAGCACAGGATAAATGAAAAATAAGCATTACTGCCAACTGCCATCTGGTCATTATTGCCCGAGAGCAAACAGAATGTTCAAGCATTTGTTCAACAGACATTACTATTAATGATGTACTTCCAAATTTCTTTATATTAATTTCAATCGCCAAGATCTTGCTCGGATTTCACAAGGATGAAGGTCGACTCGGTAAATGTTACATACCATGTTTATATCTGCTTGTTCTTGACAAAGTACCATAGACCTCAATTTTAGGATGAAATCCTTCAGAGAAGCTGGCCATTGATCCTGCCACCAAATAATAAATAAGGTATCCTTGGAAGTCCGAACCAAAGTAGCAAACAGAAAACAAAGGATAAAATACAAGTTGGATAACTTCTATACAAAAAAACCTCCAAATAAACTGCATATTATTCTAAGAATCTTCTAAAAATAGCCATTGATGAATGGTATAGAAACCAAATAAATTATTTTGCCCTATATAGAAGCATAGAGGTAAAAACTTCACCTTAAAATCTGTAGCCCAATATCAAGCATGAAAGAAAAGACCTTCAGCTTAAAATCCTCTATTTTCAGTTCTTGTTTTAACTTTTAATTACAAAACCACCACCTTGTTTTCAATGTCTTCAAAAAATTGTACATAAAACACTTAAAACAACTTTTTTTTTGGCATAGCATGTACGCCGTCTATGAAAAAAAGGAAACAGATAAGAAACAAAGTGGAAATTTTGTAAGTAAAAGTAAAAATCTAAAGTATAAACAGAAACAACAGATCCTTACTTGTCACTACCAAATTCTCTGAGACAGTCAATATTATCAAAACTAATGCATATTTTTTCAGCTACTGTGGTACAAGGGCTGATTAAGCTGACAATAATAACCAGCCTTAGTTGGCTAGCTCTTCACAAGCTACAAAAAGCAAGACGGCAACCAACAACAACAACCAAGGCTTAACCCACTAAATGGAGTCGGTTACATAGATCAACTTTCATCATAATGTCCTATCCAGGACCATGAAAAAGTAAGACGACAACTAATGGCTGTAAATCCCAATACATTATTCATATTTCGATCGAACAGTCATTTTGGTCACCAAATGCATCCAGACATTATCATTGTAGTCTTGGATTGTATCAAAACTACAAAAATACCCCGAATGTGTAGTATTTTGTTAGTGATATTATGGACCAAATTGACTAACCGAAGACACAATTGATGTCCAAGCCAACTAATGAAAGACACGTTTGAGAACCAAACTGACTATTTCGACATATGTCATCCTATCTATATAAGACTAGCATCGACACCTCTGAAAAAATGTGTGTCTATGTCTGTGTGTCTGAAACTGACACTATCACATTTAATTTATTCATTTTTTAAATTATTATCAATGTCGACCGAGTGTACGTGCTTCAAAAACATTCTGCATTAAAAATAGACGATATAAAAGAAGACAGTAAAGTAAAAGCAACCTGCACTACTCCAGAAGGTATCAAGAGAAGATTTTGAACTGGTTCTCTTCGCAGGCAATCGATCCATTCCGCATTAACATTCTCCCATAATCGATCCTGAACGTTAATCATAAAAATTGGATTAAAGTGTAATTCAAAAAGCAGAGAAGATTTTGAGTTAGGAAGATTTAGGAACCTTGAAGAAATGGACGACGTGAGCATTGATGAAGATGGAAAAGTAGGGATTGAGGAAGTTGATGATGTCGTTAATCCATTTGAAAGTATCGGCGGCGGTTTCGCATGAATACCTACGCTCTTCTGTCATCGCCGTAATCCAATACGGTGGTGTACCCTGGACCGGGAAGTAGCGGTAGTTCAGTGTTTTCGTTGTGCTTCGTTTGGTTAGGAATATATTTCCTTATAAGGGTTTACGGTATGAAAAATTTCAAGGGAGCTAGAAAAATCAAATGTTGAAAATTTTGTTTTTATAAGTTGTGTGTTGATTTTTTTTGTATAGTTTTTTTCAATATAAAGGTTTCTATTTTTTAAAATATAATTAAATTTTTAAATTTGTGTCATTAGAACGTAAATTTAAAAAAAAAAATCAAAATGGATTTTACAACACAAACATCAGATCAAATATGAAAACCTAATCTTAAATTTAAATAAATTAAAGTATTTTGCCACCACACATAAGTTAACACCGCTCTTATAGTAATTCAAGACCGATTTTAGGTCAGAACAACTAAATCCAGTGTTTAGGACTTCTAAAAAATAGGAATTTTAAAATTATTTTTTATAAATTAAAAACAAAATAAATATATAGATATTAATTGTTCAATTTAAATGTCACATAAAACTAATTAATGTAATGGTAGGCTTTTAAATCGTCAAAGATGGCCATGTGTTAAATATTGTTGTGCCTAACATTTTATAATTTAAACCAATCGCTCAATTTAATCGGTGCTAATTAAATCGGGAAATGATTCAACTGATATCAATAAAATTAAAAATCAGATGGCTTATGAATTAATTTGATAAAACTATATATTGCATTCTACTTTAATTGAAAATCGGATTGCTTAATGGATAAACGAATGATTATTTCGTAATATCAAATCTCAATCTTATTCTCTACCTTTTTATTTGTTTTGGATCACTACAAAAAAATAAATTCATTTGCGATGTAATTATCACGTTATAATAATTTTTTTTGCGACGTGATTGAACATGTCGCAGAGAAATATGTGACAACTTATTTGTGACGTGATTTTCATGTCATAAAATTGTGATGTAAAAATCGCGTTGCAATATTTTGCACAATTATCCACAATATTGTAGTAGGAGCAGGCAAAGCAGATGTTAGGTCAGAAATGGCAGGATTTTCGTGACGTGATTTTCATATCACAAATTTGTGATATGAAAGTCACGTCATTAATAATAATCTGAATTCAATAGTTTGCGACGTGATTATCATGTCTCAAATTTCTGACATGAAAATCACGTCATTAATTCAATTTTTTTAAATAAATTCTGAAACTATTAATATATTAATTTATACTAAATAAGTTTAAATTAAAATATGAAACCAATAATATTAAATAAATTAATACTATTTTAAACAAACATATCTCAATCATTTAACATATATGTAAGTGTTTGTTGGCAGCAATTTTGGTAAAACACTGCTTTGGTAATGTTTTGCTTAATGTCTTGACATTTGAAGTAAATCATCTCAACTGATTTTGAATGATGTCAAAGCAGATGCCTTAACATCTGCCTACTGATCTGAACGTGTTTTCAGATTTTCTGTTTTTCCTGTTTTTAAGCGTACCTTATTCAGGTTTTGTGGTTTTTATCTTGCGAAAAATATGGAGGAATATTTTTCGATCGGTCTCATCTTTATGGATTATCTTGGCCTACTTTCATGGAGATATTCAAGGGATTCAATATATTGTAATATTTGTTTTTCATCCCAAGCCCATAAAGAAGTTGTTGCGTCTTTATAGGGACTTGCATCCTTATTCGTACAACTGTAACAATTGAAGAAAAATATACTATGTGTGTTTTACAAGTCTGAATTTTTTAATTATAATACACTCTAGTATTATTTCAATACTTGAGTTGTAATTTGAGTGGTAAATTGTGGATCATTCATAAGCTTTTAAGTATTGAATGATTGAGGTTTTTCAAACTTAATAATTATGTTGGTTTTTCACTGTTAGTAATTGAAGGGATTTTAGGAGAGCCTCATACTTAGGTGTGTCTTAGGTAGAAGTATAGCACGGGTAGTGATTAAGTGATTAGATCGTAAACTGGTTGTTTACTAAGGGTCTATGAATTGATACTATTTAGTGGACTTGTCCCTAGCTTGGTATCCCCCGGAGTAGGTGTTGTTGTACACCGATCCTAGGTTAACAATCTCTTGTGTTTTTACTGCTTTTAATATTGTTGCATTTTATATTGTCCTCGGATATTTGTGTCGTGACATCTTTGACATCACATATCTGATACTAGAATTTCAATTGGTATCAGAGCAGACATTCTGCTCTGTATCTGGGTGAGATCTAAGGAAGATACTTTCTAGTACTATGGACAAGGAAGGAGGAATTATGAACAGACCACCCATTCTGGATGGAAGCAATTATGACTATTAGAAACCACGTATGGTGGCCTTTCTAAAATCTCTAGACAGCAGGGATTGGAAAGTTGTCTTAAAAGGATGGAAACACTCTGTCAAATTGGGAGAAGATGGAGAACCTACTTATGTGTTAAAGCCAGAAGAAGATTGGTCTAAAGAAGAGGATGAAATTACACTTGGAAATTCAAAAGCATTGAATGTTATATTCAATGGAATTGACAAGAACATTTTCATATTAGTAAACACATGTGAAGTAGTTAAGGATGCCTGGGGGATTCTTCAATTTACCCGTGAAGGCACGTCCAGAGTTAAGATGTCAAGACTTCAGTTGCTCACCATCATATTTGAAATTTTGAGAATGAAGGATGATGAAAGTATTAATGACTTCCATATGAATATTCTTGAGATTGTTAATGCATTCAGTGTTTTAGGAGAAAAAAATACCCGAAGTCAAATTGGTGAGAAAGATGCTTAGGTCTCTCCCCAAGAGATTTGATATGAAAGTGACTACCATAGAAGAAGCACAAAACATTGACAAGACGAGAGTGGATGAACTTGTTGGATCCCTTCAAACATTTGAAATAAGCATAAATGAAAGATCTGAAAAGAAAAACAAAATCATAGCTTTTGTAACCAATACTGAAGATGAAGAAGAGGATTGTGATCTGGATACAGATGAAAGAATATCTAATGCTTTAGTTTTTCTTGGAATAAAGTTTAACAAAGTGATAAAGAAGATGGATATGAACCCAAGATTAAATGTCAAGAACATCTCATCTGACATCCATAAGTCAAATGAGTTTAGAAGAAAAAAGGCTGAAGAAAAATCCACTCAAGGGAAGGGAATACAGTGTCATGGGTGTGAAGGTTTTGGTCACATCAGAGCTGAATGTCATACATATCTTAAGAAACAGAAGAAGAATCTATTTGTTACTTGGTCTGAAGAGGACTCTGAGAGTGATCTTTAATAGGAATCTTCCAATTATGTTAAAGCATTGACAGGAAAATATGTTTCTGATGAAGATTATAGTGATGGTGAACTGACTTTTGATGAGTTAGCTGCCTCGTACAGAGAACTGTGTCTCAGAAGTGCAAAAGTTTACCAAGAAGGGGAGAAACAGAAAGCTCTCATAACTCAGCTGAAGGTATAAAGGAAAGAGCATATGAAAACTATCTCTAGTCTGGAAAGTGAAGTGACTTCCCTGAATTCTAATCTTGACAGAATGGTCAAATCACTCAAGATGTTGAATAATGGATCTAACACATTAGATGAAATTCTGCAAGTGGGAAGAGTGACAGGAGACAAGAGCGGTCTAGGGTTTAATGAGAAAAAGGAACCTTATTCAGAAAAACCTCCATCATATTCCACTCATGACAAGTCTAAACCAAAGATGTCGAATCAAATGTCTCAATATCATGACAAACATCACGGCAAGAAAAGACATCATGGCAAGAAAAAATTTAATCACACCGGAGAGAAATTCCATCCCTAAAGGTGTCACCATTGTGGAAGGGTTGGTCACATAATACCTTTATGTTTCAAGTTGTATGGGTACCCTAAAACTGCTCCTCTTCCCAAGACTAATAAGATCTCTTAAACTAGCAAAAAGAAGAAATTATGGGTTCCTAAGACTATTGTTGCTAGTCTCGTAGCTCATACCTCTATCAGAGTCTCAACTAAAGATGACTGGCATTTTGACAGTGGTTGTTCTAGACACATGACAGGTGTTAAGAATCTGTTGGTAGATATTAAATCTTACTCCACCAGTTATGTGACTTTTGGTGATAGAGCCAAAGGTGAAATCAAAGGAGTTGGAAAGTTGGAATGTTCAGAAGTCTGAAAACTTAATAATGTGTTACTTGTTAAAGGGTTAACAACTAACCCAATAAGTATAAGTCAACTGTGTGATCAAGGATTCAAAGTAAACTTCACCAAGACAGAATGTCTCATTTGCAATGAGAAGAATGAAGTTATTATGAAAGGAATCAGATCTAAAGACAACTATTATTTATGGGTTCCCCAAGAGTTGAACTTCTCCTTAACATGTCCTTTAGCCAAAGAAAATTAATTTAAATTGTGGCATCAAAAACTAGGACACTTGCATCTGAAAGGAATGAAGAGAAACATATCTATAAAAGCCGTGAGAGAGATTCCTAAGCTCAAGATAGAAGAATGAGGGAGTATATGGTGAATTCCAGATTGGAAAGCAAACTAAGATGTCACATCAGAAGATCCAACATCTCATCAGATCAAGAGTTTTGGAACTTCTTCACATGGACTTGATGGGACCTATGAAGGTTGAAAGTCTTGGTGGAAAGAAGTATGCCTATGTTATTGTAGATGACTTCTCTAGGTACACATAGATAATTTTTATCAGAGAAAAATTAGAAATTGTTGAAGTCTTTAAAGATCTCTGTCAAAGACTTCAAAGAGAAAAGGATAGTCATGTCATCAGAATCAGAAGTGATCATGGAAAGGAATTTGAGAATAATAAATTTATTGATTTTTGTTCTTCTGAAGGAATCAGTCATGAATTTTCCTCTCCCATTACTCCTCATCAAAATGGGATTGTGGAATGCAAAAACATAACTCTTCAGGAATCTGCCAGAGCTATGATTCATGTTAAGAAGTTACCCTACCACTTTTGGGCTAAAGCTATGAATACTGCATGTTATATCCATAA